ATATACAGGGTGCGGCGCCAAAATCCGGACAAAATTCAATTTGAAATTCTCGCCGTTCTATACCACTGGTAGATGTCGCGATTAGCGTTCAGATAGCTTGACGCATGTACTAAACCATCATAACCTCGAAACGTTGAAGTCGCAATGTTGAAACCAAGTGCGAAGTATAACCGAAGAGTCGCGATTATCGAAATTGTTTGCGCTGGGCGCTCGGCGACAGAAATCATTCGGTTCTTCGGGTACCCGAGATCAACTGTGTATGATGTCATCGCAAAGTACAATGAGTCGGAGAAGTCCAACGAAAGTTTTGCAACACCGGCGAGGAAAACCCACTCGAAGGAGCGCGTTGTCAGGACGCCCGACATCATTCAACGGGCTCAGGAGCTGATTTTTGAGAATCCAGGGCAATCGATCCGAAAATTGTCGTCGGTTGTTGGTGTGAGCGAGATAACTATGCGTCGAATCGTCGAGGAGGACCTCCGCTACAAGTCTTACACAATTAAAGTGAGACAGATGCTTTCTGAAGCCGCCAGGACAAAGCGAGTTGAACGCTGCAACTTGCTTTTGTGTTCCTTAAGAAACAATGCTTCCAGACGACTCAGGTTTTTTTCTGATGAGAAAATTTTTACTGTGGATGCGAAAATCAATCGAAGGAATGACCGCTGGCTCACCCACGACCCTGAAGATGTCCCTATTGTTGCAAGAACGAAATTTCCGGCGAATGTTCACGTGCTAGATGTTGTATCCAGTGAGAGTGATGTCATGCCACCACATTTATTTAACAGAGGGGAAAATATCACAAAAGAAGTTTATTTGCGTGTTCTGACAAATGTAGTGAAGCCGTGGATGGAAACTGTGTCGTCTGGAAAGCTATATGTTTTCCAGCAGAACGGTGCGCCCGCTCACATAAGTCATTTGGTGCAAAATTGGTTGTCGGACAACGTCGACATGTTTTGGTCGAAAGAATTCTGGCCTCCCAACAACCCAGATTTGAATCCTTTGGACTTCTATGTATGGAGCGTAGTTGAAAGGGTCACGAACAAATCCAGACATCCAAACGTCGCATCATTGAGAACCGCTATTGAAGCGGCATTCACCGATATGGACCGTGACACATTAAAGCGCGCCTGCGCACGCTTCAGACCGAGAATGGAGGCGGTCATTCAAGCAAACGGGGGATATATATTGAGTAAATGTGTTCTTTATGGCCTTACAAACAATGTGGTTAAAAAAATTTTTGTAAACTTTTTCGTTTTTGCAATAAAAAATATGTTTGGAAAAAATGTATAATTTGTCCGGATTTTGGCGCCGCACCCTGTACACACACATATGTATAGATATATATAATATATAGTGTGTAATATTATATATTGAAATGTATTATTATTATTATCGTCCTTATTTATTGAAATTTTGATTATATATTCTGTATACCAGTACTAATCGCCTATTATTATGAGCAATTTCGATGAGTATATGTTGTGTATATTATCGAGTAAGTTAGACGGCTACGAATGGCGTTACGATTATATGGAGATGTTTCCACCTATTTTTCAACAAGTTCGTATGTCGGAAAATCATATTATTATATATGGTTGAATTCGACATAAAATATACTTTTCTTTGGTAGACACAAAATTTTAAAATTATAAAAAAATTGTTGAGTGGTGAGGGTATGTTAGCAATTATTACATTTTTCAAATATCTGATTTTGTCATTGTAAAATACTTCTAAAACCATTTAATTTTTGTCGATAAAATTTTTTTCTACCTCTTATACTATTGACGAAACATGCTCCTAAAGAAAAAAATCGATTTTTTTCAAAGGAATGTTTTACCCCCTAAAAGTCCGCCTGGGCACGTATAAAAAATACGTGTCTTCTCTTTTAGTCTAAATTACAAAATATTTCAAGCTTATCCAAATCGAAGGTAACTACTTACGGAGTTCCTTGTAAATATTAGTGAAAGTCCTTAATACGGTGAGGAGGCAATTTATTAAATGGACATACAAAAAGTCACCAAACACGTTTCGGTCTCTGATCCTCAATTCTCAATTCTCAGTGGTGAAAAAAAAAAATTGTCATAAAAAGATAATACATTGGTCAGTTATTGAAATGGTCCAAAGAAAAAACGCAAGTCAAAGAAAATAAATAATTGCAGACAGAAGTCGGAGAAAATAAATAAATAAATAATTAAGACCTCAAAAATCTTTAGAGACAAAGCGACCTGTAGTGGAAAAAGTCCGTGTTAGTAGCCCAATTGCAAATTCCGTCACTCATAAATGCACTTAGTAGAGTGCCGTGTTGGTCGAGTCTAAATATCAAAATACTATAAAGAATAACAAAATAATTGCAAAGGAAATCAGGGCAAAATACACAAAAAGTTACCTAAGTGTCTCCGAGGAAAGATCAATTTTCAAAGATAAAGTCTCAACATCGAGCAAATATCGTTAAGCTGATACCTCTGAATGCCAGCAACGATACAATTCCTGTGTTTATATTTAGATCGCGGAAGAGCATAACAACTAAGTAAAAATTTATTTTCGATGAAAACCAGAGACAAAAAAACCTACACGCATCCGAACAACGCGTTCTTTATATAGGACACCCTGTGTGATATCTAAAACGAGAAATAAATAGATATAGACTTTACCTTGAAGTAGACGAAAAAGATGACAATGCCAAAGTACACGAGAGCATGAGGTGCAGAAATAAGGTCAGTCTTTTTATCTAGTACAAAAATAATCGATGCAACCATTGATGCTTTTGTAGGACTGTAAAAAATAAAATTATTACTTATGCATAAATTTGTTTATCTATCAAAAATATAATCATATGTCTAATAATATAATTTCTTTTTACCCTCATATATAAGATTTTTCACAACATGTGCGATTCACTGCCGAGATAGATTTATGACTCAATAATATTCAATAAAGTTCAAATAGTCTGTGATGTGGCGATGTGTCATAAGGATATACTGTTTCTAATAAGAGAAGTAAGATTAGCGGGCATTAACATCCACTTATGTGTGTGTAAAATTTTAAATTTAATTAAATTTTAATTTTCAAATCTCCCACGAGTGTGATAATTAAGAAAGTAACAGAAAAGCAGCAATGTATGAAACAAGATGCTTGAAGCTGTCACGTCTATCAACAAGAAGACGAACGAGACTTTCCGTACTTTCTGTACTTAACACTTCATCGGCCGCTCGTGGTTGAACTTACTACGCACTCCCAACCGGCTTATTCGGGCGCAGATACATCGCTAACACCGGCTCGATTTTGATTATCCTGCGAGAATATAAGCGCATATTCCTACAGCTATGCAAATTTTAAATCAAAATTCGTGAGAGTGAAAGAACAAATAAGAAATCTATAACGAATAAAACGAATGAAGCTCGGACTCGATGACTAGCGAAGGGCAGAGGCTAACGTAGACGAAACCTGCAAATTGTAATGAACGCGACATGGCCAATAAAAAATCAGCAAAAGATGTAATATCTTGAATCGTAATAGCGTAAAAAAATAAAAGGAAGACTTAGCGTAAGAAAATAAAAGGAGGAAGAACTTAGAAAGAACTTGCTCGATATTCTATATAAATCAGATTTGATTCGATTATGCGTAGTTGAGGAAGCAAATATATCAAGCTTTGAGTGCGTGAAAAAAATGAGAAGTAGCGGAGGGGAGAAGTGGCGACAAAAAGTGGAAAGCTTCCCTAATGGAAAAAATTTGCTGAAAATACAATGAAATCGTTGAAAATATTAGGTATATAACTTAAAACCCTCTAGCGATAAATAGCTGTAGCTTTGACAATCGTCAACTGTAATGGCTGAACAAGGCATCATTTATAGTTTTGACCTCTGTCAATAATATTCAGTATATAAAAGTTTGTGTTTGTGACAACAACATAGTTATTTACTGCGAAAAAATGCCTGAATTTCAACTAAATAAGCATTATTTGCGCGAAGCTTTGCTTTTCTGTTTCAATTTCAAGAAAATTGCTGCTAAATCTCATCAAATGTTGAAGCTTATAGGGAACTTACTCTATCAGAAACAACTTGCAAGGAATAGTTCCGACGATTTAAACTTGATGATTTTGATACGAATAATAAAGAACGTCCAGGCTAGCAAAAAATAATAAATAAATAAATCAAAGATACAGAACTGCAAGCATTAGTTGATGAAAATCCATGTAAAACATTTGCAAAATCAAATCAACCTGCAAAAACGTTGAATGTTACTCAAGCAGCCATTTCTAAGCGTTTAAAAGCCATAGGAAAGGTATATAAGGAAGGAAGATGGGTGCTATATGAATTGAAAAAAAGAGACGTCGAAAGGCGAAAAACCATCTCCGAAATGCTGCTTGCCAGGCAAAAGAGAAAAGGGTTTTTGCATCGAATTGTGACTGGCGATGAAAAGTGGATCTATTTCGATAACCCTAAACGCCGAAAAACCATTTGCGACCCAATCATCGACATCGACGCCAAAACGCAATATTCATGAAAAAAAGGCGATGCTCTGTATTTGGTGGGACCAGAAGGGTGTGGTATGAGATACTGAAACCTGGTCAAACAGTCACAGGGAATTTCTACCAACAACAAATAATCCGTTTGAGCCGAGCATTGCGCAAAAACGACCAAAATATGAGATAAAATAGTTTAAAGTAATCTTGCTTCATGACAACACTCGACCTCACATCACTAAGGCTGTCAAGGGAACATTGGAAACACTTCGCTGGAAAGTGTTACCCCATGCGGCTTATTCACCAAACTGTGCCCCTTCCGACTACCACTCGTTTCGGTCGATGGCACATGCACTTGCAGAGGAACACTTTAATTCTTATGAAAGCGTCGAAAAATGGATCTCTAACTGGATAGCCTCTAAATATGAGTCGTTCTTTCGCCGTGAAATCCGCTTATTACCAGAAAGATGGGAAAAAATCATATCTAACGATGGCCAATACTTTGATTGATATATTTTTTTCAATTGTTTCTTAAATAAAGGCTTAATTTTTGCAAAAAAAGCGGGTTTCAAGTTATATACTTAATACAATAAAATCGTCGAAAAGAGAAATTAAAGTTATTGAAAGTTATTGAAAATATTTTATGATGAATCATGATTTTCATTATGAATTATTATGAAAAGTGTGACGAAATAATGAATTTTAAATGAATATTGATAAAAAGTAATGAAAACATTTTAAAATATTTTGAGATTATGAAATCTACTGGATTTTAATGAAAATTGAGTAAATTGTATTGAATCTTTGCTGAAATTTTGATGAAAAAAATTCGTGAAAATATTTCTCAATAATTTTCAAAATTTTTCTGAATTGCGCTGAACCTTTATGGAACAATAATAATTCATAATGAATTGTAAATAAGTACTTTATGCACATCATTTATTGATCAATGAAAAACTTCGTGAGAAAGTTTTAAATAAATAACGAAATCATGCTAAATTTTATTGATAATTGATGATGCTAATTAAAATTTAATTTTTTTATACAAGGTGTCCCACAAGTAGTAGAACACCCGTTAAGACTAGGTAGGAGATAAAATTTGGAACTGAAAGTTCCTCTTCCATTTTAGGATACAATAATTATTTAATGAGATATTAAGTAATTAAGTCTGCCAATCCCTTAGCGCCCAGAGTGAGCGCTTAGGGACGTAGGACGCCGTGAACCTCTCAGGGGCCTTACTTGTCCGTTTTTCTCTCTTTTTTGTACACACACACTAAAATCATTAACGATACTCAATCACTGACATGCAGAAAACATTCAAGTCACCTGCGCACTCGAAGGAAGCATACCATATATGCCCTCCCCCTCCGGCACATAAAATGCTAGCACTCCGCCCACTCGCACCAAAAATATTCAAATTATCCATGCACTCATAACCGCACACGAAAACACCCGTACACCAACGAGAAAGGTTACGTCGATTCGACGTCTACTAGACGTCTATATGAAACGTCTATCTACCATTTATGTCTAATCTAGATTAAGATCTATATCGACCTAAAAATGGTCCACATTTATGTGTCTAATAGACCGTCATTTCGACGTCTTATTGATGTCTAATAGACCGTCATTTCGACGTCGATCGATAAGTCATTTCTCACTGGGATATTCGACGTCGATTCAATCCCTTATAGAAATATCATACTAAAAATCATTGATAATTACTTATTTTCAGTATTAAAAATACTGGATAATAAGTAATTATCAATGATTCTTAGTATGATATTTTTATAAGGGATATCGAATAGACGTCTAGAAAGATTGTAAATAATCGACAAAATAAAATTCCGAAATTTTATCGAAAACTCTTTTAATGGTCAATATATTATGAATGGATTCTAAAACATTAAAATTTACTCAAAATAAAAGACACTTAAATTGCCATTTTTCTAGACGTGCATTTAGACTAGACGTAACTTAAACTTCTCCGACGTCGGTTAGACATCGAATCGACGTCTACGTTCTCGCTGGGCATCATCCCCACACATTGAAAACTTGCCATCCCCCTAGCCCCGGTCAGGCAACCATCCAAACATCTAGGTAGATGAGTGAGTAGATGTTTGGATGGGTGCCTGACCGGGGCTAGGAGGATGGCAAGTTTTCAATATGTGGGGATGATGTACGGGTGTTTTTGTGTGCGGTTATGAGTGCATGGATAATTTGAATGTTTTTGGTGCGAGTGGGCGGAGTGCTTGCATTTTATGTGCCGGAGGGGGAGGGCATATGTGGTATGCTTCCTTCGAGTGCACAGGTGACTTGAATGTTTTCTGCATATCAGTAGTTGAGTATCGTGAATGATTTTAGTGTGAGCATACAAAAAAGGGAGAAAAACGGACAAGTAGGGCCCCTGAGGGGCTCACGGCGTCGTACGTCCCTAAGCGCTCACTCTGGGCGCTAAGGGATTGGCAGACTTAATTAATTACTATCTCATTAACTAATTGTCGGATCCAAAAATGGAAAAGGAACTTTTAGTTTCAAATTGCACTCTCTACTTACCTCTAACCTTCTATCAGTTGTGGGACACCCTGTATATTAGGATATGAAAACTCTCTCTCATTGAAATGTCGATGAAAATTACCTAAATATATCAAACTTTATTGATATGTATTATATACTTCTATTATAATAAATATGGATATTTTCACTAAAATAATTCTTGTACTTTTTTAAATTTGTAATTATTTTTTTAAAGATACGCATACATTTAATTAAAGACTATCTTTATAAATAATATGAAATTTCATATTTCTTTTAATCTACATGCAAATATTACATATGTTAATTAACGATTGCTCTCGATGCAATATTGCTCTAAATGCAATATTAGATGAAAATTAACAATCGTATGAATTTGTAAGTTCGGGATTATAATAAAAAGATGTATGACCTAACGGATTATTTAGATTTGACTATCAGGAATGGAAAAGGCTAATAATTTCGGCAACTGACCCTTATAGAAATATCATACTAAGAATCATTGATAATTACTTATTATCCAGTATTTTTAATACTGAAAATAAGTAATTATCAATGATTCTTAGTATGATATTTCTATAAGGGGAGATCATTGGTTTCACACAACACGATTTATATGTGAACAATAAAGAAATATGAATACAGTACAATCGACTATTCCACTTATTAGTAATCTATAATCGACAACGACTAACGAACGAGAGTTCCCTGTTTAAGTATTTAAGTACGAAAGTGTTTAAGTACATGCGTACTTAAACCTTTTCGAAACTCTCCC